GGAGAAGGCGGCGGACCCAGTGGTCCCCAGAACTGTGACCTGGACGTCATTCCACCATCCCCCGCTGGCGAACTGCGAGACGCGATAGCCCAAGTCGCTGCACACGAGCTCGTACGGCACCACGAAGCTGAGGGGCATGCACAGCCCCTCGCAGAGGTTGACCTCGGTGTTACGACGCAATCGGCGTCGCCTCAAGCCGCAGCGGCGCACGCGAGCCGCGTTCAGCCCCGAGGAGGCCACATCGCGCGCGGGCGGCCCAGCGCGCTGCAACCTAGGCTTGAGAGGAGGACGAGGAGGAGGAGGAGGAGGAGGAGGAGGAGGAGGAGGAGGAGGAGGCGGAGGCGGAGGCGGAGGCGGAGGAGGAGGAGGAGGAGGAGGAGGAGGAGGAGGAGGAGGAGGACGAAGAGGAAGCCTCTTGAGGCCCTCTTGAGGCCTCCTGGGGGCTTCCTGGGAGCCTTTTGGGTGCTCTAAGGGCCCCCTTGGGGCCCTCCTGGATTATACTCGGGCCTCTTGGGGACATCTCCGGGGCATCTGGGGGCCTCTACGGGACCTCCTGGCCTTCGGAGGCCATCTTGGGGCCCGTCCGTCTGAGGGGTCTCTGGGGCCGTCTTGGGCTGCCTTGGGGCCCTCTTGGGCCCTCTTGCGGGCCTCTTGGGTGCCTGTAGGGCCGTCTTGTAGCGATCTTGGGGGCCTCTGGGTCGTCCGGGAGCTTCGGAGGCCCGAACAATGCAAGAACGCCAACATCATTTTGAGCAGCATGCGGCAAGTCAATGACTTGTGCCTCCTGGAGGTCCTCATGGTGCTCTCCTGGGGCGTCTGGGGGGCCTCTTGGCATTCAGAGGCCGCCGTGGGCCCTCACTGGGCAGTTGTGGGTCCTTCGTGGGGCGCTTCCGGGCATCCCTGGAGGTCTCAGGGGGCGCCTTTGGGGCCTCTCGGGCTGCCTTGGGGCCCTCTTGGGCCGTCTTGCGGGCCCCTTGGTGGCCTCTTGGGCTCTCTTTTGGGGCGATCTTTGGGGCGAACAGATCCGGTCTTGGAAGCGTCGGCAGCCCGACCAGGCGAGAACGCTAACATCAGTTTAACACCTTGCGGATAACAAATGGCTTGTGCCTCCTACGGGGTCCTCTCCGAGCCCTGTTGGGGCGTCCAAGGGGCCTCTTGGCCTTCAGAGGCCGTCTTGGGCCCTCCCCGGGCAGTCGTGGGTCCTTCGTTGTGCGTTTTAGGGCAGCCTTGGAGGTCTCTGGGGCCGTCTTGGGGGCCTCTTGGGCTGCCTTGGGGCCCTCTTGGGCCGTTTTGCTGGCGTTTTGGTGGCCTCTTGGGCCGTTTTGAGGCGATCTTTGGGGCCTATGGGCCCATCTTGGAAGCGCCGGCAGCCCGATCATACAGGCGAGAACGCTGAAATCATGTCAGCATCCCACGGCGAACCAGTGGTTTGTGCCTCCTAGAGGTCCTCTTGGAGCCTGCTGGGACGTCTAAGGGGCCTCTTGGCCTTCAGAGGCCGTCTGTCTTGGGCCCTCCCTTGGCAGTCGTGGGTCCCTCTTTGGGCGCTTCAGGGCAGCCTTGAAGGTCTCTGGGGCCGTCTTGGGGGCCTCTTGGGCTGCCTTGGGGCCCTCTTGGGCTCTTTTGCTGGCCTTTTGGTGGCCTCTTGGGCCGTCTTGGGGCGATCTTGGGGGCCTATGGACCCGTCTTGGAAGCGTCGGCAGCCGAAAGAGGCGAGAACGTTGAAATCTTAAGGAACACCCAAGGTATATGAAGGGTTTTAGCATGTTTTAGCCTGCTGGAGATCCTCTCGGAGCCCTCTAGGAGCAACTAAAGGCTTCTTGGGCTGTCTGGAGGACATATTGGGCCGTCTTGGAGCCTTCTTTGGAAGCGCATTGGGCCATCTTGACCGTCTTGGGAGTTTGTTTTCTGGATGTTGAGCTGTGTTGCGCGGCTCTCCTGGTGGCTGGCGGGTTGGGCCGAAGGCCTCGAGGAATTTTTGAAAAGAAAAAACTACCGAACGTTTGGCACGCCGTGCACCCCTGTGGTAAGCACAGGGGGCAGTAGGCCCTAAGAGCCTTCGGCCTAACCCGCCACCGTGCTTCGGGTTGTGGGTCACTGTCCTCAGGGCTGCCTGTGACCGCCAAGGCACCCTCTAAAGACGTATTTGGTCCTGGAGGCCATCTTGGGCCATCTTGGTGCTCTCTTGGGCCGTCTGTAAACCTCCTTGGCTGTCTGGAGATCTTTTAGGGCCATTTTGGGGGGTTCTACGGGTTTCTGTAGCCGTCCAGGGGTCCTAGAGCCTGTTTGTTTTTCGCTGGCGACGACGGGCGTTACCAGGGAAGGGGAGGGACCGGTAGCGCCCGCGGGGAGGGATAGCGGCCCGATCACGTTTGGGTTGGGAGTGATTCGGGACGACGACGACGACGACGACGACGACGACGACGACGACGACGACGACGACGACGACAACGGACACCGTTTGGTGGCCTCCAGAGTGCGCATAGGCAGGGTGTGCGCAGGCATTGCGGTGTACATCGGCATTGCGGCGTTGTGGTGCACACAGGCGTTATGATGTACACAGGCATTGAAGTGCACAAAAACCCTGTGGTGCACACAGGCATCGTGGGGCACAGGCAATATAATGCATGCGGGCATCGTGATGTGAAGAGGCGCTGTGGTGCACACGTCTGCTGTGGTGTACACACGCACTGTGGTGTACACAGGCGCTGTGGGGCATGCAGGCACTGTGTACAGGCGATGTGGTGCACGCGGCTCGAGGTGGTGCGCACAGGCACTATGGCTTGCGCAGGCGTTGTGGTGTACACAGGCGTTGTGGGGCGCGCACACTGTAGTGTACATAGGCGCTGTGGTGCACGCAGGCACTGCGATGTACACAGGCGCTGTGGTGTACACGAACGCTGTGGTGCACGCAGGCACTAGTGTACACGTGCGCTGTGGTGCACTGGCTGCTGTGGTGTACAGAGGCACTGTAGTGTACATGGGCGCTGTGGTGCACGCGAGCACTGTGGTGTACACAGGCGCTGTGGTGCTCACGGCTGCTGTGGTGTACGCAGGCCTTGTGGTGAACACAGGCGCTGTGGCGGACGCAGGCCCTATGATGTACACAGACGGTGTGGCGCACATTGCTGTAGTGGTGTAGGCAGGCATTCTAGTGCACACAGCCCCTATGGTGCATGCGATGCAGTGCACGCGGCTTCTGTGGTGTACACAGGTATGGTGGTGCACACAGACGTTGTGGTGCATGCAAGCAGCAAGCATTGTGGTATACACAGGCGCTGTGGTGTGCGCGACTGCGGTGAGGCACGCAAGAACTGTGGTGTTCACACGCGCTGTGGTGCACGCAGGCACAGTGGTGTACACAAGCATTGTGGTGCTCCCTGGAGGTCCCTCAGGTGGCTTCCCCCCATCATTCTCAGACTGCGCCAGCGCGAAATGTGACGTCAGTGGGGAGCTGCCCCGGTAACGGGCATGATCGCAAACGTGAAAAAACGGTTCCTATGAGGGCCAGCTTGGGCCAGTTATCTCTTGAGCCAGAGAAGTTCTTTCGGCAAGGCACAGTCGAGTTCCATGCCTTCGCCACTCCGACCGCCGCTGGCGTCGAGAACTCTTCCGCGCGTACGTCCCCCTTGATGAGATACCCGGTTCTCGTAGCCCGGCGTCCCCCCACAATGGTGCTGGCGGATTTTGCGGGCGCCCAGTCATGATTGTTTCGTGTCATCTCACGTCTTTCTGTTGATCCGTCTTCTCGTCGTCCTTTCCCTCGTCGTCGTCTTAATCGCCCTCGTCGTGCAACTGCCCGTACGCTCTGATCTACCCTGGCTTTCTCATCCTTGGCCTCGTGCTTGGTACCGTTGTCTTCTTTTTCTTCTTCTGGCCATGACTTGCCGCCCACTATCTTCGAGGCAGGCATCGGTGCTTTGCCTTCTTCAATCTCGCCCCGCTTAAGCCTCTTCCGGACCAGTCCTGGAGTGCGTTCTGGCTAGAATTTCGAGCCAAATCCAACCGTGGCGACGACGCTCCAGCAGGCCCAAACAACGCAGGAACAGAAAACGTCCGTGGCGTCGATCCTTGATCATAGACCCTCATCCTTCTCTTGCACCCCCTCTCATGCCTCTTGCTCCTGCTTCTTGTTGTGCCGCGCAGCCGCACCTACCCCAGGTGTTTTGCAGCTCGCCCCGGGAGGCGCACTTCTCCCTATTTACACACATTACACACCATATTATATGCGGTGGAGCTTTGGATAACTCAGAGGAGGAGGGGGAGGAGAAGGAGGAGGAGGTGGACGAGGAGGACGAGGCGGAGGAGCATCGAGGTTTGAGGACGGATGATGGAGACGTTAGGGCGCTTTCCATCGTTTTGGACCTTGAGAAAGTCTTCTCGTCGCCACGGCTGGATTTGCCTTAAGAGATCATTCAAACACACACCCCAGCACACGGGGACCCATACCTCAAGGTGTCGTGAAAATGACGTAATCGCATCTTGGCGCCGGGACACCAGTTTCGGGACCCCAGGCGTCCGCAAAACGGACCGGGAATTGGGACAGGGGCAAAAGGGGCTCACATCGCTGAAAGATCACGACGTCGGAGGTCAACAATCGCGAGGATCCAGATTCTTTGTCGTACGGGAGGAGGGAGAATTGATGTCATCAGCGAGCAGCCTCGGGTCCAGGATCCACCCCCGAATTGGAGTTTGAGAATGTCTCGAGCGGGACCTCCCAAAAAGGGACACGACACGGCCAGGAAGATCTCCCCGGTTCCTCGCGATGGTAGCGAAGATCCCCGACGTTCTGATTGTTTCCACAACGTGGACTTCTGAAGGTCTAGACCTTGTCCCCATGGCTGGGTTTTCATCCCGAGTCGTTTTCTCGATTGTCTTGGGGTGTGGCAGACAGCCGACAACTGCCAAAACGAAGTCCGTCGTGATTTTTGTCACGACGCGAGGGGGTATGGGAACGGTTCCATGTCCAATGCTGCCACCATGATTATAGCCTGCTTTCCGCGATGTCGATACTCCACGTCGGGGAGACCGCCCTCAGCGTGGGCAGCTGGGTCGTGTGCTCCATTGGCATGATGCTGTTCAACAAGTTTGCCGTCAGGGCCTTCCCAGCGGAGTGCACCCTGGTGGCGTTACAGATGGCCGTGACCGTCGTCGCCATGCTGCTGTTCTGCGCGAGGTCCATCAGGATAGGCTCGTTCATGGACGTGCTGCGGTGGTCCATGGTGGTGCCCTTCTTCACAGGGATGCTGCTGTCCTCTATCCTGGCGCTCAAGTTCGCGCCCATGAGCCTGGTTGTCGTCTTCCGCACGCTGTCCCCCTTGTTGTCCCTGATGATTGAGCGCATGTACCCCGATCCGCTGCGAATCAGCTTGCACATGGTCGGAAGCATAGCGATCATGTTGGTCGGGGCCTGCATGTACAGCTCGGCCGTGCACAGGTCGTGTCTAGGAGAAGGAAGATGAGGAGGAGGAGGAGGAAGAGGAGTAGGAGGAGGAGGAGGAGGAGGAGGAGGAGGAGGAACAACGACGAGGTGGAATTGGAGGAGGAGGAGGAGGAAGAGACAGTGGAAGGGGACAGGTCGGGCCTCGGAGGCATATGCTGGGTGTTCCTTAACATTTTCTTTGCCGTTGGAGACCGCCTGCTGCAGCGGCTGATGCTCGCGAAGGACCAGAGCCCCGTCGACATCTCCAAGACCGGAATTACGCTGCTGAACAATATTGAGGGTTTGTTGCCGTTGTTAGCCGTGATGCTCATCAAGAATGAGTTTGCGGATATACCCGAAGCGGTTGCCAGCCTGACAACCTCTGGCTACGTGTGGGTGACCCTCAGCTGCTTGGTTGGCATTGCCATAAGCTACACAGGTATCTGGGCACAGAGCATGATCAGCGCGACAAGCTTCTTAGTTCTCGTGAACGCGAACAAGTTCGTGATCATCTTCATAGAGGCGTTCTGTCTGCAGTCCAAGATCCTTACCCCGATGCAGGTTGTCAGTGCTTGCGTGACTATCATCGGTGGCGTGATGTACGGAAAAGCTCGCGACACGCTTGAGAAAGACGTGAGGACGAAGAGAGAAAAGGAACCTCTCAATCGACCCAGGGATTCAAAGGTCTGAGGCCGAGCGCATTCCATGGCTCCCAGCTTGAACTTTTGGACTCGTCCAGGGGCTGAACCGTTTCGGATCAGGATCTGAGGCCGCCCGCACCAGACGACGTTTCTGTTTGAACTTGACCAGGGACATGCATCGTGTCGATCAACGTCGCCACCGCCTCTCTTCCTCTCGTCGTCTGCTGTCCGCCGTCCTCCCTGCGCTTTGTGCTTCCTCCATGAGCTCGCTCACTGTTGGCGAAGTCATTAGACTTACGTGGTGGTGCCAATCACGCTGTGGTTGCTTCAGTGAAACAATGTTCCTCCACTTCACCTTCCTCGCCATTTCACTCCTCCTCCTCCTTGTCTGCTTCAGTCTCTTTCAACTCGGTGGAAAAAGAGTCCATGCAGGAGAAGCCATAGTTCACATGGAGGATCAGGGATGGCGATTGTTTATACCTTCATGTGTGCCGTTGCCGTCAGCACGTCCGGCGCAGCCCAGGTGGTGGTGGTGGTGGTGGTGGTGGTGGTGGTGGTGGTGGTGGTGGTGATTTGCCCTGTCCTGATTCAAGTCCATCTCCTCCTCCTGAGGAGAAGGAGCAGGAGGATGCGGAGGAGAAGGAGGAGGCATTAAACCTGAACCTCGAACCCCTCGCTCCCCACCCTTGATTTGACCCGGCGAATGCCATAAAGATGCCAGATCCGAAGTGTTCACGCTCTTACTGGCAACACCAAGTTGATCTCAAAGCGCTGGAATCCATCACGCAAACATCCCCTCAATTCGTCCTCACACCGCCACACTCAAATGCGGCAGAGCCGCAGGTGAGCCTTCCCCTCCTCCTTCGCGTTCGTCGGAGGAGGGCCAGTTGAGACAACGGCGGCAGACCCCTCCTGGGGTCCATTTTTTTGATGAGGATTTCAGCTTTGGCGACGAAAAGCCGCCAGCAGGCCCAGAACTTCGGGCAAACGCCAGGGAGGACTGCCGCTGCCTCGACTGAGCCTCCTCCGAGTGCGTCCCCCGCGCCCTCCTCCCGCTCCTCCCCCCTTTCGTCATCATGCTCCGGCGGCGAACCTCGCAGGGGCCCGTCGAGGAGGGGAAGGGATCGCCCGGAGAGCTCCAGGTGTTCACCGCGATCCTCATCGTGCTCTGAGGCGCGTCCTGCTTTCTGCGCCTCGCAGCAGGCGGGAGCCAAGGGCACGGGGTGGGGCGACGCGAGGCGCGGGGAGGAGGGAGGACGACCACCAGGCGAAGTCAGCGGCGACGTGGGCCACGAGGCGTCGGACAGCGGCAGCCGGGGCGCGGCAGAGCAGGGTGCGCACAGAGCGGCCGTGGAGGAGGACCGATGAGCAGAGGAGCACAGAGGTCATGAGAATGCTACGTTCCAAGAGTTCCAAGGTTGCCCGAATTGTCCGTAAAAGGTGGAGGAGGAGAATGAGGAGGAGGAAAAGGAGGATAAGGAGGAGGAGGAGGAGGAGGAGGAGAAGGAGGAGATGGAGGAGGACGAGGAGGAGATGGAGGAGGATGGTCTCGCCGCCGGGAAAGTGTGTACGTGTGATGTGCGATGCTTTCGCGCTTGTCGTCTTCCAGTGTTCAGACTGAGTCAGTTGCATGTTCGCAAATCGTGAGGAGGAGGGAACAAGCAGAGCAGGAAAACCATCCTTCTCCTCCTAATCATACACCCAATTACCCTCCCCCTTCCTCCGCATCTCCTCCTGATCCCGTCCTTCTCCTTATCCTCCGAATATCTTCGTCGAAAGCCAGCTAGCTGGCTGACATATTGCTGTTGTTGGCTACGATTTCCTCCTCATCTCATCCGTCCAGAAAGACAACAGTCTTGGCTCAAATGTCTTGCGGAGAGTATCATCGTGCTTGCCAGGAGAGACGGCAATGCCGCGGACCGTGGCTGCCTGGATTGTACACCTGGAAGAAGTTGGACAGTCTCAGCGCTGTCCGGCGACCTGACCTACACAGAGGCTTCTGTTGGAACTAGTTATCCACAGAGCGCTTTTCAGAAGCGATGGCACTGTCGAGGCCTGTGGTCACAGAAACTGCGACCAGTGTACCATCTCAGCGCTGGACCAGGGCGTGACCTACACACATGTAAACAGATGTTGCCGCTGGCTGCTACATGATAGTGCTCATCAGGAGTGATTGCGCCGCTGTCTGTCTTCAGAGAGCTTCAGCTTAAAACCTGAGTGGGGGTCCCAGGGCCAGAGGAAGACGTGGCGCGGATCCCAGACTTGGGTCCAGGACTACGCTACACGACGGCGTCTGTGGGCAGTGAGCACGTCGTGCTGCTGAGGAGCGATGGAGCTGTCAGATCTCGCGGCCTGGTAACGCCCACGGACTACAGAAACCTGCGAGAGTACATGACGCAGCCCGTTCTGGCCAGCCTAGCGTGCGACATCCCGGCGTTGGATGACGGCCTGACTTACACGCATGTCGGTGCTGTTCTTGGCCACGCTGCCCTGCTGAAGAGCACTGGTGCTGCTGTGGCTAGTGGCGAGAACAAACGCGGACACCCGGCACTGGAAGGAGGCCTGGCTTACAAACAGGTTGCAGCTGGTGGGTATGACACAGTGGTCATCAAGAGCAACGGTGCTGCTGTGGCTTGTGGCGATCACATGGGCGGCTGGTGTGACATCCCTGCATTGGATGTAGGCCTGACTTACACAGCGGTGCTGGTTGAGCTGTGCCACGCAATTTGCCATCAAAAGCAGTGGTACCGCTGTGGCTCGTGGCGCAAAGCAAGTGGGCACTGCAACGTCCAGGCGTTGGACGGAGGCCTGACTTAGTTTCACAGTGTCGTTGAAAGAGCTGGCCGTCTTGCAGGCGATGTTGACAGTGATCCCCCATTCGTTTCCTCACCATCAGCGGGGACGAGCGCCACATAATCGTGGCGTGGCCTGCCGTTCGCCTCGCATACATGTGTGCAGGACGATGCGACGGCAGCCCGCATGGGCGCAAAAGTGAAACAGAGGGGGCCATGATGTGACCACTAAGGCCGGCCTAGCTTTTCCTGTATCTCGTAGCAGTGTTGCGGTTAATCTTCTGCTTCACAGTCGCGTTGCGCTCAGCTGCCTGCTTCGCAATCGCGGGGTGCTCCGCGTTCTCGCTCTCTGTTGTGGATTTTCTGAAGAGTCGCCAATCGCGTGCTCTTCCGCCCACGCGTCCCGCAGGATGCACGGTTTAGTGGTGGTGGTGGGTGGTCTGTCGCGGTCCTGCCTGGCCTGCCTTCCTCAATTTGCTGGGCTGGCTGATCTCACTCTAACCCATCAGTCCTTGGTTGTGCCCGGTCCTGCCTCGTGCTGCCTGGTCCTCCTGATCCTCCTCCTCCTCCTCCTCCTCCTCCTCCTCCTCCTCCTCCTCCTCTGTCTGTGCCCTCTCCCTCCCCTCCATAATCTTCCTCTTCTTCCTCCTCCTCCGCCTCCTCCTCCTCCTTCTGCTCCTCCCCCTCCTCCTCCTCTCCCTCCTCCTCCTCCTCCTCCTCCTCCTCCTCCTCCTCCTCCTCCTCCTCCCCCTCCTCTGTCTGTGCCCTCTCCCTCCCTCCATAATCCTCCCTGCTCCTGCTCCTCCTTCTCCTTCCCGTCCTCCTCCGCCCCCTCCTCCGCGCTCCCCCTCACTCCCCCTTCCCACGATGCGAGCCCCCCACGAGGGGGGGGAACAATAAGAGGGGGGAGGAGGAAATGGGGGAATAATCGGGGCGTGGAGGTGGGAAGGAGCGTGAATGTTGGCGGTGATCAAAGATGCGCAGGCAACAATGACCAAAATATATGGCAATCGTCTGGCAGGAACACTCCTCTTGTCCCTCGTGTCTACAGGGAGGACGGCGGCGGAAGGGGGGGGGGGTTGAATTCCCCTTGTCTGCCCGGAGGGTCCGCCCCTTGTCCTGGCATCGCTCGGACGTGTGCATTTTTTTCTCGGCGAGGACCCTGGAGGAGCATCCTGGATCATCGAGCAAACAAGAACACGCACGAAACCGAAAAATGCACAGGGAGCTGACGTCCGAGCGATGGCAAGTTGTCTCCTCTGCCACGGGGGGGACCAGCGGGGACAGGTGGAGCGGGAGGGGAGGCCTGGAGTTTCTGCTGTCCACCGGGGGAACCGCCCCCCGGATAGGGCCCCCGGGACCCCTCCGGGAGACCCCCTTGCAGGACCGCCGGCCGCCCACCCGCGGGGAAGGGATCAAAGGGAAGGGACTCCTCTTCGACTCAATTACGACGCTTTTGATGTCCGTCTGGCTGGATCGCTTTTTGGGGGGGGCCAGGGAAAGGGGGAGAGTGGCGACGACGACGACGACGACGATGACCCAAACGGAAAAGGAGAACTGCGCCTGCGACGACGACGACTCAAGCAGAAAAACGTTTTCACACACACACACACACCGACTGAGTCGTCGGATTTCTAGCACGAGTATTAATCCGCACCCAGCGCTGCGCCGCCGCCCGCGCTGCGGGGATGGTGCGCCCGCGGGACTGGCGCCGACGCTGCTCGCGTCTTGGCGGCCTCCAGGTGGCTCTCGGCACGGCTGCGTCGCACTGCTCGTGCTGTCGGCCTGATCTCGCGGCAGCTGGTCAAGGCCGATCGACAGGTCTGGATCGGCGAGAAGGCCATGGAGGCGCAGCGCGCACACGTGAAGGGCGACGCCCGCACCACGCACGCCATCGTGCGCGCGCTGTGTGGCCGCGAGATGCCCGCCGTTGCTGCCCTTCGCCGCCCTGCTGGTGAGCTCGCCAGCACGCGTGGCGAGCGTGATGAGCTCATGCGCGGCCACTTCGCGCAGGTTTTCCGTGGCAAGCTAGTCTCACCCGATGAGCTCGCCGAGGGCGTGCCGCCGCCTCGTTTCCCGTACTGTGCTGCTACCAACGCACCTGATGTTTCACCCAGCGCCGCCCGTCGCGCCTTCTCAATCATGAAAAACAACGAGGGAGTCGGCAACGATGGCATCCCAGGTGAGCTGATACGTGTCGCCATCGATTTGTTGTCGGTCAAAGTTTTTTGAGCTGCATGTGTAAATACTTGAACAGGAGCGTTGGCCTGTGTCGTGGACAGGAGGCCGCCTGGTTGACATCCATCAGAAGAAAGGGAGCGACGAGGATCCCGACAACTCCCGTGGCATTTTATTGGCCGATCATTGGGCGAAAGGTTTCTTCTACCAGTTGCGTGATATGTTGAATAGCCAATCGGCGCGGTGCCACTGCAAAGCGTGGCACAGACTTGGCCTCTCACGTCTCTATCATGCTCATGCACCTCGCCAGAATGCAGGATTCGTGTGCTTGTTTTGTTTCTCGATCTAGTCAAAGCGCTCGATCGAGTGCTCCGCGAGCTAATGTATGGCATGACCGAGCAGCAGTTTGCAGATCCTCGCCCCTGCCTTATGCCTCTCGGCGTGTCCCCCGACGCTGCCCTGCAGATGACTGTGTATCTTGGGATGCTCGGTGCCGCCTTCCATGAGTGGCAGGTCGGCCCCAAAGCTGGCGAGCTCGTGGGGCGTTTGCATCGCATGGCATGGTTCAGGTACACTGATATCCGTGATGTTGTGCGGATATTCACCAGAGGACGGTAAGGTCGTGTTTTGGGCACTGTGATGTTCAACGGCGCGTATAGTTTAGCGCTGTTCGGTGACGACTGTCTCGTCCCCCTCGCCTCCACCCCCATTCGCCTCAACAGCTCCATGTTAACCCTGATGAAGGTTGTAGTGCAGACCTTCGCTGCGTTCGCCTTGGAGATTAAGTGGAAGCCTGGCAAGTCATAACGCATGGTTGTGTGTCGCGGCAGCCAGGGTAGTAAGTAGCGCATTATATTCAAACACAACGGTCAGCGTTGCTTTCAGTTTGCTGAGCACGATGTCGCACTGCGCGTAGTCAGCGAGTATAGGCATTTCGGTCGTGTCTCTACGCCTGACTGTCGTCTTAAAGCGCGACGCTGATCAAACAGTTCGGCAAACGATGAGTGCGTATGTTCCGATCGCCTTTGAAGTTTTCGGTGCCGTTGAGTTGTGTGGTAGTGTCCACCTTGCTCTTGCTGGTTCGTTGCTCGTACATGATAGGCTGTTGTTCAATAGGCACATCATGTGTAGCACACCCGAGCACGGAGTACTTGCGAGCCCTCATCGGCCCCCACATGCGTATCCTACGCATTGCAAGAGACCCCAACTTTGGAAAAACACGGTATAGTGACTGACAGATCCGTGAGCTTTTGAATCGTCCTTCAATTGACGGCGTAGTGATGCGTAAGAGGTTGTTGGACTTCGCCCGTCTCGTCCTGAATGCGCCTGGCCCCTTCCAGGCCCAGCATCAGGTGCGCGTGACAGATCGAGCGTCGGAGTGGGTACGGTTGTTCCGCGACGATCTCATGTATGCGTGGAGGTATGTCCCTGCCTTCTCCTTCCTGTCCGACCCTTGTACACTGACGTGTGGCACATGTTTGTCCTGCAACATGTTGCTGCGTGGCGTGCGAAGGTACAGAGCATCTTTTTTGTTTCGTCTGTGTGTGATGCTCGTGGTTTGCCCGCTGCCCGAGACCGGTCACGATGCCTCTTCACACGTTGGTCAGCGGTGTGCGCGCACACCGCAGCAGCTGCCGTCCGTGTACAGTGCATGTGATGACCGCGCTGCCTTTCTCATTTTTAAAGCGTTAAATATGCACCAGCGCATGAAGCACCCTTTTCGGTGTGCAGCACGTCGTCCCGTGCGACGTGCGCCAGCACCTGTCCCGTGCGCCGCACGAACTTCCGTCATAGACTTCGTTGCATGGGCCGACCCCCGTCGGACCAAGTTCTGGGGCCAGTGGATGCGCCAGGCGCCGCCCCCGCTCCTTTGTCTCTGGTCGAGGACTTGAACGCGCAGATCGTGCCGCTCGCAAGGAGGTGTAGCGCCTTGGCCACACCCACCCTTTTGCAGAGTGCTCTGCTATCACAAGCGCTGGAAATGGTATAGGCTTCGCGCGTATGTGACCCACTTGTTTAAGACCCTTGAGACACGCCTGGGGTAGCCTTGCAGAGAAAGAAAAAGCGATCGTTATTATCATGAATCCCCTTATCATTATTGCCATTGTTATTATTACAACTTTTCTTGCTGCTACCACCCACCAGCACTAGTATTACGCGTACTACTACCAAAGCGATTACGACAACACTGGTAATTCGTTTACTACGGCGACTGGTATTCCGACCACTATTACTGGGACGACTACTTGTATTATCACGTTTATGTTTATGATTAACCGTGTTACTCCTATTCTTACTTTCGCGACGAGAGCAACTCTGCTACTACTACGACTGCTACTTCTACTACCGCTACTACTACTACTACGACTACTACTACTACTACTACTACTACTACTACTACTACTACTACTACCACGACCACCACCACCACCACTACTAGTACTACTACTGCTACTACTACTACGGCTACCACTACTACCACCTACTACTCCTTTTACTACTACTACTACTACTACTACTACTACTACTACTACTACTACTACTACTTCTACTT